AGCATGAAGCTGTGCATGGGTAACCATCACAGGACAAGCAGACCTTTGCTAACGTGCTCATGGGGGCAAGAGGAAACTTCATATCGTCATCGTAACTGTTAGGCACAACTTGTCTTCAGAGTGCAATGGAAATGCATGAGGTTGTTTTATTCTCTCTGCTCCAGCCTGTAGCTCTTGACAAGCTGCAGAGCTTCTCTTTCCTTGTGGCAGCTCCTCTAACTTTCCGCACAAGATCACTCGCGTTTGGGGGCACCTGAGAGCAGAAATGACTGAGTTCTCACTGATCAGTTATTTCCAGATGCTGCCATCAGCGATGATCAACGCAGCTCTGGGGAACGCCAGTGCAGTCAGCAGGAATGGAATGGACTTGGCTGCAGCTGCCCCAGGCCCGTTAGTGCAGTGTGCTCCCCTGTGCAAGTCCAAGGTGCATGGCTCCAGCATCAGCGCCCGGCTCAGCGTGGAGCAGGCAGTGTCCATGCAGTACAGTGTGGTGACACCCCTACTCAGCCCCTTCACCTGCAGCCTGAACAACAATCAGGCGAAGGCAGCTGTGAGGAGTGCTCTAACCGGGAAGTCCAGGCTGACCTTCTGACCTAGACTCTGCTGCTGCACCAGGAGGAAAAAATAGGGGGAAGAGGAGCAGAGTCAGGAGACACCATCTCTACCCAGCTGTCTCCACATCCACTCCTTTCTAAAACCAAAACCTTGGCTTCTCATCCAGCGACCTGGCCTCAGGCTGGGGGATGGAGAAACCTCTGCCGTAGTGTGGGTGACACTCCCTGCATGAGAAAATGCTCAGGGCCTCACTGGACATTACTGCAGCTGCTGATTTTACATCTTACTTCTCCTCCTTTCTACTGCCTTTCCTCCATCTCTCGGTCCCCTTTACTTTTGCTTATGCATGAAATGTAAATTAAGTCATCAGACCATGAGCTCATGCCCCATTGCATTCTGGTATCACATCTTAATAGTGTAAAAGCTAATTCTCCTTTTTCCCAAGAGGAAAAAGGATCCCTGGCAAAATCTGTACCTCTTTAATAACTTAAAAAGAAATAGAATAAGGTGTGTCTCCTTCTGTCTTAATTCTTTAAAAGTAGCCCCTTAGCCAGATCCTAGCAAATCTCCATCACTGTGGACAACTTAGTGAAAGAAGGGAGGATAAGTCACTGACCACCTGAGAACTTTCTCTTGCGCCGCCCTCGGACGCACGCAGGTGAATATCTCCCCTGAAGAGTCCCTGGGGCAGAACCTCTGCCTAAGATCTTCGTACCTCCGCATCTAGTGCACGCTGCCACCTACCAGGTGGTGTCAGGTGAGTGAAAAAATCAGCGAGCGAATGAAAGT